GATCCAGACATGTGTTAAGCCCTGACTATGCAGCACCAGGAATGCAAGCCTAAAGAACCACTTCACCGATGGACTCTTTCTCAGCCACTTTTCTGGTGACTGAGGCACACAAACGACCTGTGAGACAAGGGCACCTTTACCCTCAGGATCATCCTCATCAGTTCACGACAACATCTGTGTGACAATTACATTATCCTGAACATTTTGGTCCTCAAAGGCATGTTGGTGGCAAACTTTCACGTCAGCATCTAACTTTGGGCACCCAAGGCACTGGTCTTTTAGGAAGGACAAAACACTCTGCAGAATGCACCTGTTCAAGGATAGTGTAAGGAAGGCAGAGGAATAGCATATAAATACTGCTGTGCTCGATGTAAATTCACTCAGCTGTTTATGCAAAATGTTCTCTTACTCCATTTTTCCTGACCTCATTTCCTCCTCTACTTTCTAACTGCAGAAAATAAAACAGTACAAGTCCTTGCTTTCATTACATGCAACACCTACTGCCTGTTCTGAAACAGATGTCTACAGCATCATTAAGCAATTATTTCTTTAGCCTTTTTCAGTAGGACTCATTTCAAACGTCTTTGTGCTAAATCCTCCTCCTTCAGCTTCCTCTGTACTTCTCATCCTTTGCTACATTCAGGGTTCCAACAAAAACCCTTCTCTACATCAGTTTGCTCTTGTTATGTTTGCCCTGGATCACTGTACTCACAGGAGGACAGAGACCATAACTTCTTTGAATCAGGAATTAAGTTCAAGAGATTTTACTGGGGAAAAAAGACAAGGTGAGGACAGAAAACAGTGACAGACATGAGTCAGCAGTGTAGGCAGCAGTTCAGAGCACCAGCTGGCTCAGAGGTATTTTGTGGACAATGTAGCAAAGAAGAGTTTTACATGAACACAAGGACAGCCCCTACACTCTCAAAGCAAATGACCAATATTGTCAACAAGAGAAAAACCCAGCCCCAAGCACTATTTTCATTTCTGTACTACCTTTGTTCCTTGCCAAGAGTACATTAGAGTTAGGCCTGCAGGACTTGTAGGACTCCATTGTTGGGGAAGACAGTTGAGGGAATAGATTCCTCCCTCCTATTTCCAAATATTGCTGTAATATTTGGCTGAAGTCCACTCCTGGGAGGAACCATGAACTTTCCAGGCCAATAACAGACTTGGCACATACTGCATTTAATCATGTTGGTTGCTATGCAGTGATATACGTTTGCTATTTATCTTACCTTGTTTCCAGCAGAGCGATGTGAAGGTGGCAGAGAGCTCCAGTTCTAGCTGGTAGAGAAGGAGTGTGCCTTCTTCCAGTGAACAACAAAAAAGCAAGCTAAAACAAGAGCTGTAGGACATGTTGTGCCAGGTTAATTGGCACTGCAGTGTTCAGTAGTTAACACTTACTGAAAATTGTTCCTTTAGGTTATTTCTTTCATTGGCAAATTCCTATTCTCAGGCAATCTTGTTAATCTGGGCTGGTTTCAACTTGTAAGTTGCTGTGACTAGATTAGTATAGCCTGCATTGCACATTAAAAGATATTAGTGGAAATAGGCTGGTGGCATCATTAACAATCCATTGCTAAACTTTGTACCCCAATGCAGCTTTACCAGATTTTAATGGATTTCCAGTTTACAAATGACTGTTTTAGGGCAATCTCTATGAGGAAACTTCTGCAAAAACTGTCCAATCATTTCTTAAAAGAGCACTTGCAGAACAAGTACTTCTTGTGGCAGCTTAAGTTACAGGAACAGGTTCTTTGAGACTGTCCCATGTGTGGTTCCTCTGGTGTTGTCTTTCTTCCTTCCCTTTGATGGAGGCACTGATTTAGGCTTTCCTCTTCTATCAGTGCATCCATTTCCTAAAAAAGTGCCAGATTGTAATTGTTCAGGGTCCTTCACACTTCTTAACTAGCCAAAGTCATTTGGGGTGGTGGGAGAGAAGTTGACAAATGCCCAGACACACAGTATAATCACATCAGAATAGTCACAATTTCTCAGACAAAAAAAACCAGACTATAAAGAGGACTACACTAACTGGGAGACACACGAGTTAGAAGTCCACATCAGCTTTACAGATCATGTCTGCAATGAGATCTGCAAGGACATGCAAGTGGCAGGGAGAGGCAGATAGCTTCTATCAGGGGCGTGACTTCTGCTTGTTCAGGTTTGGGCAAGGCATGACTCTTATTTTTTAGTTACATTTTTTTTTGTACTTGGATACCTGCAAAAAACTCACAACTATGATATTTAGGGTGCTACTGAATCTTCAGGAGAGTGGGGTGGAAACAGCAGCTCTTTCCTGGTGCAAACTACACTGGGAAGAAAGTGGCCTCTTCTGGTGCCTAGACAAGGAGCAAAGGACAGCCTGCTGGAAACAGAAAAGGCTGTGAACAGTCCTGGGTCAGTTAGGCAAGGGGATTATTCTGAAAGCTTCAATTGCCAGATGTTGACAAGGATATTTGAGTTAGGAAAGATATAGGGAACAAAAGAGAGGAAGGGATTTTGACAGGATCTGTGACTGTGATTGAAATGAAGGGCCCGAGTAACGAGTCAGAGGGGAGAGTGGAGCTCAGGAATAGATGAAAGAAATTAGGGAGAAAGTCTCTGTGCCTGGCAGGGTATATTGCTGGGAATGAAACCCAAGATCCTTGGCTCAGCATTTCCCTGCTGCCCACAAGGATCCACAAAAATGTTGCTGTAATGCTGGGACTCCTGGAGGATGGTAACCAATTATTGTAACTATTCTTTTATCTTTGTGGCTGAACTTTTTTTTTTGCTCTAGCCTGGAGAGTTGGGGCAGGAGGACTGGAGACTGTGCTGAAAGACAGCAATAAAGAACACAGCGCTGCACTGACAGGAAGTTTCAAAATTCAGGGTGCCCATGGGATCTGAACTTGCTCCCCTCCCATTTAGAGGTAAGTATAAAGATACAAATCTTTGCTAGGCACATCTCTTCCCCACAGGATCAGCTTACTCTCAAAGTAAACCAAACTGCATTTCTTTGACAAACAGATTTCTAGTACTTTGTCTCATAATTCTCTGTGTGGCTCCATGCCTCACTGGCTGCTCATTGAATTCCTACGTTGAATAATGAATTAGCAACTCCTATTTATGGTATTCATCACTGGAATACACAAGTACACACAGATCCAAAACAGTAACAGCTTTTAGTCATGTAACCAATATTTAACTTTGTCATTTATTATTTTGAAAGTAAAGCTTCATTTCCCAGGCAGCTTGTGTAAAATCCATACCTTCGTGGGTCCAAATTTAAAGATTTCAGAACAAGAATACTCAGAACTCATTTATCTGGATTTCTATTTTTATGAAGTCATCTAAGAAATCATTAGAAATATGATTCCAGGAAAAATATGATATAAATAAAACCAGGGAGACCCTCATTTGCCTTGGAGAGCAAGACAACAAGACAAGCAAAGCAATATGCAAGGAAAGTGAGGCATAAAAATATAAAGCTATTAGTACTAAAAAAGTCTAAAGTTCCTCTCCAGCATTTATCCATTCACTCTCTCCCACAGAGCCACAGAGTTCTTCTCTAATAGCTCCCATAGAGCTTTTAATGACTAGGATTACGAAAAAAATGAGGCTTATGCCCTACACAGGGACTTGTATTATTCCCAGTTTACAGAAGGGGGCAACTGAGGTATGAAGTAACCTCCTCTCCCCTCTCACATAAGCAGAGGGCAGGGACTGAAGGTAAAGCTGTTTCTTTGTTTCCTCACAAGAAAAGCAATCACCATGCATTTTGCCAGAATAGAATATTGAGATTCTTAAGTAATTTTTGTTCCCAGGTGTTGCATTTCTATGGAAACTTACCTTTTTAAGGTAACAGAAATGCTGACTGATTTTAAAAATTCCATTTTCCTTACCTACCTTTTACTGGCATAACTGTTGCTATGGAAACTGGAGCTGGCCATGAAGCAGTTCTACAACATGAATTCTCACTTGTCAGCTTCACATTAAAGTACCACCTTCTAAGTCCTTTAATAAACCAGTAATAATTGTGTTGCCTAACGAGTTTTTATATTAAACAAAACAAGAAAGAATGCTTTCACTGAATCCTCTGTACAATATTTCATAGGTGTGGTCTAAGAATTTTAACAGTGTGCTTGATATGACTCTGTTGGTTAAGGATATGATCTTTAAACAGAGAGACAGTTTATTTGCAGTAAAAGCCCTAGTGTGTGTAGTTCGACTTACATAAAGGTGACTTATACCAACATGGGTATGTCTAGACTGCTGTCACAGAAGCACACTGTAGAGATACTGAGTGAATGGGTAAATCAGCCTACAGTGAGCTCTGTGCTCCCACAGCTCCTCAGGGTACTGCTGTGCAGGCACATGCATGTTGTATTCCCCATAGGTGCAAGAGGGAGTGCTCTCAACCAGAGTAACCTGGGCTGGGTGGCTACTGTGGAAAAAAGAAAGCATGCAAGCTTAAGACACAGCTATTCTGTAGAGATAGACAGAATCTGTGTAGCTTAAATCTAGGCTCCTCCATTAACTTTAGCTTAACCTTTCACTCTTGTAAAAACTATAGGCTCCCTTGTGTTTATTCATCTTACTTGCCTGAGACAACTCATCTGAGAAAAATCCCTTTTTTCCTGTTAGGGAACAAACACCATCAGAACACACCCTCCATCACAAGAGTCAAGCACTCCAGCAAGGATCAACTTAAAAACTTCCAGGGACAGTTTCTTTCCAGAATAACTTACCCGTGTTTCCTGAGATAAGTTCCTTCCACCTCATCTCCAAGGCTTTGCAGTTGTTCAGTGCTTTGAAACTGCAACAGGGGCAGGACCGATGAAGATAGAAGTGTCTGCCCTTTCTACCTCCAAGCACAGAAAATCAGTGGACAGGGATTTTAGGCAAACTTTACACAAAGAAACACATCTAAAACACAGTAAGTGCAGCCTCAGAGTTGGAGGCAACAGAATTTGCTTGTGTAACTATACAAACTGCAAAGCCCAAAGATGTAATCCTATTTTGGTAAGAATTTATTATAAAGAGATCCTAAAGAGCAACATGATCTCCAAACTCTCTTTTTCTCCCCAAATTCATCCAGCCCACACACTCAGCTGTCATCTTCAGGAGAACCAGGGTCTTTCTTCTAACTTAAGAGAGATCACCTTTCCCACTGAGCTAGCACTGTTCCTTTAACCCTTTCCCAGCAAAATAAACTTCTGCTAATACAGAACATTTCAAGAAAATGGCCAAGACAGTCTCTTAAATTAGATGCCATACTCTTCCAAATGGTCTGAAACACCTCATACTTTCCTTTAAAATATCCTCAAATTCAGGCCAAATAAGCAATTTAACCATATGTACTGCTTGGTTATGGGCAATTCCTGAAGCAAATTTGAATTTAGGATTCAATATTCCAAGCTACTTCTTCCATAGACAGCCTTGTTTTTAAGCATCACTTCAAACTGATCAACAATCAGAGCAGGAATTTAAAAAGCAATTCTCCCCAGTGGCCAACCATATCTTCTCATAGGCATAAATTAAAGTTTCAATTCCCTTTAGTACCACTTGACTCAGAACCTGCCTTCTTTCCCTGACTGAGAGATATTCAGAGCATGGGGAGGGAGTCAGGAACAAATATTCTACAGCTCTTCCTTAATCCTCTTCTATTTCCTTCTGCACAGGTACATCCCTTCAGCACCTGTTCAGGGCCCATATTGTGATCTGACTAGAAGGTACCTGACTCAAAGCAGAGAAACATGAGGAGTAGGGAAATCTGTGAGGAAACCAACTATTGAGTCCTGCAGCAAAAAGGGAATATGCAGCAAATGAATGATTCATACACATGAACATCTCTTTAAGGCCAGAGTTTTCCACAGGCCTCTGAATGCAAATGCCAAATATTTTGTCATACTTTTCTCTTAGCCTATATCTGCAGCCAGGGCTTGGAGTGAGGCAGATAATATAACAAACCAGAGAGCTGGCACACATGGGGCTACTCACTGGCTTTCCTCATGCATATGGTTTATTTTTCCCTGCTATGTCAATCCTTATAGGGCTTTACCACTACAGCTGCCTCCTGGGAGTCTGCTATTTCAACTGCTACAGGGTAGGTGCAAAGGAGAGAAGGATAAATTCAATCTTTTGTACTCTTTTCAAGTTAAAGGTCTCACCTCCACACAATAAATTAAACAGGTTAATTAAACAGACAAGCCCCTGCAGCAGCAAGGCCTCTCTAAGGATAAATATCGAACAACTTTGCTTTTTTACTGTTGCACATAACAGAGTTATAATTATTCCAGATCAAACATCTTGCATAGTAACCTTCTTTAGGCCAGTGTTGTTTCTTCTATGCCTTGTGTTCTTCTGCAAGCACAGATATGGGCAGTATTTTACCACAACAGTGACAAAGAATAAAAGACACAGAAAGCAACAGGCAGAGGAAATTACAGTGGGTCTCAGTGGCTTCTGTATATTTTTTTCCAAAGCATCTCATTTATATTTTACCATTTGTGATGTAGGAAGCAACTGAAACAGCAAAACAATAGACGATCTTGAAAATTCTGGTCTGAGGAGGAACAGCAACAATAGGCATCAGTAGCACAGATGGGAATGCAGAGGAATGCAGACATGCTTGACACCAGTGGGAAAGGCTGCAGGATGGGGAAGGGATGTAGGACCCCTTTCCTGAATATTACCTCACAGAAAATGGTGAGGGTTGCTTTGGTACTGGGAAAGCTGTCCAGATTGAGGACTACATATTCACAGACAAAGGTGCACCAGCACTGCCAGGAAGAATAGGCAAATCCTTCTGCTTGTGTGTCCTTTCTCTAGGCGGTATGAAATTCACATAAAAAGAAAGATCCACAGCTATTGCCACGTGAAAGTTTACAAGATCAGTCTTTAAGCCAGAAAAATGTCTCCTTAGATGATCACTGCTGTAAACTGATCTTCAGTAGTGACTTTTCTTTAGGCTCACTGGATGCACATGTGAGGATGGTCAATGTCTCATCCTACTCCAATAAAAGAGCACAGTTTATTTTCCAGTTCCCTGCTAGATTAGAATGTCCAGAATCAGTTTGATATCACTAGGAATAGCAAGGAAGTCAGCAAGAATATTAAAAGAAGTATTTGAACAATTTCTCTGAAGCTGGACAAAAATAGCATTTGGAGAATCAAAAGGCTCTTTTTATCCACTATCTAGATCATACCAGCTAATGACAGCTTCTCACAGTCTCTCAACCTCTCTTTCTTATCTTTTCTCTTTAAAATACCATAAAATATCCTTCCATTGTGCTGACAACATCACTGTTGTTCTCTAGCAGTTCCAAGACACGCTGCATCACCACTTCAGCCAGAGAGGGGTTGTAGCTCTGCCGAACACAACTCAGGACATGAAGGAAATGGCAGCCTTTTTCAGCATCTGCAGAGAAAAGGAAAATGCAGTCAGGCATGGAAAAAATATTTCACTCTAACTATATCTTTTGAACTATCATAATACAGATCAATAATGAAAAATCCCAGAGTCCTAGATACTGAAAGAGACGCGTGTATTCAGAAGAACGAGATCCTGACAGTGCCTACAGTTCTCCAATTATCAACTGTTCCCAGTGACTTTTCTGGGAAGTATCAGGGTAACAGTAGTAATGAGGGTGAGAGATAACTCAAGTCTTGCCAACTCTTAACATACAAGGCTCAGTACAACTTGATGAGGAGTTTAATAATGGAAGGATACCTCCATTGTCTACTTGTACAGGCCATCCAGTTTTTGCAACTTCAGAAGGAACAAATGAAAGTCATTTTATTGAGACCAAACTTCACAACCCTCTAGCACAGCAGGGAGGTATGTGGCATGGGCCTGTAACCGCTGGCCCAACGCTGGCACCTTGTGGAAAAATTGCTGCACTGCAATTGCATTTACCTCGCAATGCTATCCCATCCCTACCTACCCTGCAGACTACTCAGACAATTACGGGAGTAGGAAGTCACACAACCATCAGTATCAGATTTTATTTCCTTTTAAGTGAAATTAGCCTGCAATGTACAAGAGAATAGAAGTTTAAAATAACCCCCTTTGCTAGGGACAAGCACAGAGGTCCTTCATGGCTGTCTGCATCTATTCTGTGCCAGGTGGAACATTGTTCAAAGCTGTCCCAGTCATCATTTCCTCCAACACAGCCTATAACCCGCTATTCATCAGTGCTGCAAGTTCCCAGTCCCCCAAGTGCTGAAGTCCACAACATATTTCTCCACAGCAGCTGACAATGGAAAACACACATAAATCAGATATATCAGCACAAATTATTTTCCTTCTTAGCTCACATGATGCAAGGCAAGTTCGATAAGGGTACTGAGAAATTGTCATGGGCCAGGGAGGACCCTATATTTTGTTGGCTTTTGGTTTTTTAGTTAATTCTCTACTCTAGAATCTGCTGGGCCCCAGAGCTGCCTTAGAACCTGCTGAGAAAAGTCACTGGTATATAGTGGTGAAAAAACCAGTTCAGCCTAATTCTGATTAGGCTGTGAATCAGGCAGAAATACTTCCTCAGAAGTATCCAGCATGACAAAAAGACCTTTGTGGCTAATAGTCAAAAATGTTTCCACTACCCTGGGAGAGGTAAAGGCAGAGAACAGAACAATGCTTCTACCTGGTCATAATGACTGCTTTTGCAAACAAAATGGGTAGCTGCACTTTGCATTTGTCATAGGTTTGTCATAAGAAGGTCAAATTGCCCATCCCTGATCTAGAGAACTTAAATCTCAGTGAATTACATTAATGACTCAACAGTACAATGTGTTCTTTTCCCCTTGATACTGGTAGAAAATGGCACTTTGAGGCAGCTGCAGGTATGTACAATGATTATGTAACCCCCAAATATTCCTGACATCCTGGGTTCTTGCTTTTGTCCAGCAGCTGAGGGAAGATAGACTGTCATTAACTGTCCCACCTGACAGCATCAGAGGGGACAGAGTTACAGAACAACAACCATTTGCCCACTGAAGATATTTCACACAGGGTCCACTGTGACATTAAATTTAACTTCAAGTGGTTCTGGTTTTTGTCCTCTCTACCATTAGCCTGATCTAAGCCTAAAATTTATAAAACTGAGAAACAGAGCAAATTTATAAAACAAAGAAACAAACAATCCAAAACCCAAATACATTTTGCAGTTCAGTCTGGAGTCACAATGTGCTACCTGGCTATATTAAGTTTCTAGATGGATCCACAGTGGTCTCTCATGAGTGCATTTAAGATCAAGAATTATAAGCGGAGCTAAGGACAAGGATTGTCATGTAGGCACATTACAGATCAGGGCTTGTGCAGCTCTGAGTAGGCATGCAAGATTTTTTTTTTTTTTAATTTGTACAATAGTTTCAGAAAGCTGGGTTGGGCCTGGGAATGTGTCACAACTACAGCAATGGGGCAAGGCGTTGCCGGGAAAACTGGCAGAGAAGAGTTTGATTTGTCATAAATCATCCTTCTTGTCATGGAAGATTACTATGAATCTTGGAGGAAAACGGGTAGGAATTTCCTGCAACAAAGAAGCCGAAGCCCTAGAGGCGAATGGCCATGTGCTGTTCTCTCCCTGGAGCCAGGCGGGCGGCAGGGACCGGCAGAGGGGGCCGGAGCCGCACCGAGCTCCGCGCTCCTGCATCAGCCGCGGACAGCAAACAGCCCCCGTGCCCTGCTGCTTTCCACTGAAGCTTCTTGGCTTTGCTTCTACTGCCAATGACCAGGACATTAAAATGGTCCTTCTGGAAACCAGCAAGGGGACGCTGACCTGGAAATTGTCCTCTTTACAATGGGAAACTAAGTCGACGGAAAGCTTCAAGGAGAACAAGAGGGTTTGTGAAACAGTTATTAATTTTAAACTGCTTATTATGAAAAATATGGTTTTGAGGACTTGGGACTCTTCAAAGTCTTTTCTATGACTGATCTACAAATTACTCTCTGCTGTTGACTTTCCTGACCGAGAGAACTTGCCAACTTCTCACGGATCACAGAGTACTTTTATCAGCGTGACAATGGACAAAAGAAGGGAACAAACAGGAGGCAGTCACTCAGTGCCTCTGTCAACTGAATAGAGGTTCTGGCCTCGATAGTGACACAGTCATATAAAAAAAGTAGGTTACCAGGAGAACCAGCTGATGCATAAAATGAGCAAAGGAATTATGTGACTCTTAGAGAAATTATGTTTGTATTTCTTAATTGGATAAAAGACAATTAAACAATGTGATACAGTAATTTTTTGCACTGAAACACCCTCAGGCAAACAAGCCCATATTAACCTGCATGCCCAGTAGTAACCTCTTCTCCCAAGTCTACAAGTGTCTACAAGTGTACCACTTCTAAAGAGAGAAAGTTAAAACTCAAACTTGATATTTGCTTGCTTAGCCTTTTTTTTCACTGCAGGATAACCATTATACTCCAGGTCCTATGAGTGCTATTGTAGTTATGATAATATAGGGATATGAGCAATTTAAGATTTCATGCCTTATGTTGCAGTCAGTCATTTATTCTGTACTAAAGCACATTCTATCCCACAAATAGCTGCACTCTGGCATCAAGTGATCCCTGCTGACACATTCTATCCCATGAACTGAAAGACACTCTGTGGCAATGTACCTGCGTAATTAGCACACATTCAAGTCAAACGTAAGTTATCACGCTGACAATAAGACACAATAGTTTGGGGGACAGGGATAACTCAGAAGCACCTGAGGTACATTATCTGAAAAGACTTTGTTCGACTGAAATCCTTAACTAAAAAGAAAAACCTGAGCTCTGCCTGAGCTTAAAATCTCCAGAGAATATCCTACTGACTTAAACAAGTTTAATTGTTGACTTGAAGAAGGTGGGTATTTCACCTTTCTGCATGGTCACTTTTGTGTCAACTCCCCTGTAGGAACTGAACCAGCAAGATTTGCTACTTCTCCAGACAGCAAAGCAACAGCTGCTAGGTGGTGACCTGACTTCATTACATTTGGTTCCTCCCAAAATCCAACTGTTCTCAAAAGATATAGATCTAAGATAATGGCTGCTTATTTCACATTGGAGAGGTTTGCTTCCTGCTGGGCACACCTGGTCTTTCTCTCTCCATGCTCACAGGAAGCTGCTCCTGCACTCCTGCTTTTATCTGTACTGATTAGCTACACCAGCATCAACTCGAGTTCAAGGGTGAGGACAAGCAGCATATCCAATCCAGCAGCAGGAGGAGATATTGTCTTCAGTATATCAGCACCAGCTCATCAGAACTTGATCACTATGCTACTTACGCCTGGGTTTTCGACAGTCTTCTTTAATCACATCAAGCGTCACTTTAAACAGCTCCTTATCATGGTCAGTCACCTGAAGAAAAAAGAAGAAACTAGCCTTGCTGTTGAAAAACAATTCAATGCCATAGTGTATTCTGAGCTAACACTGTCATAATTATATTCTGCATTTTATGCTGCTTCCAAGACTAATAATGAATGTCAAATCTTCAGGCATAATTTTTAGTACTATTAGCAGCATCCATGAGTTAGGTGAAAAACGTGACACAACTGTTTGACCCAAAGGACAGTGACTGATTCAGCAGAACAGCAAGCTTGAACCCACTTTGATAAGGAGAACTGTCCCAGGCTCCAGGTTTCAGTGAGCTCAGCTGGATCAGAGACAGAATTTGGAACAACTCAGTGGGTGATACAGAGGTACAACCAACAGTGAAGTAAGCTGCAGAAAAGACTTTTGAGTAAACTGACAGCACCTGGATGTCCAGCTTCTCCTTCTGAAACATTTCTACTATTTCTGCAATATTTTTACTGCTTTTACCAATTATGAAAGTCATACCACTGAACTTGTTTTCAACCTCAATTCCATTCCTTACATAGTATAAGTCCTTGGAGCTGCTAGGTTTCTGGAAAACCACCCCTTTTTCTTGTAGCATCTTTATTGCTTCCTTAAAAACACTGTGAATCCTTTTGGAACTGGAGTTACTTTTTGACTTCACCTGGATGGGAAGAAAGGAATGAAACAGATGGTGAGAAATCTCAGCTCAACCCAAGTTACCAGACACTCCAAAAGCTCCAGACACTTTCAAGAAGAAGATAACTTCAGGTCCTTTCTAACATGAATTTTGTTACTCATTTTTCTTCATTTAGTAATTCACAAATCACATCTGTTATGTATGAAATAACCAATATCTCTGAGCTTTAAACAAATCCCAAACACCAGAAGCATGTACCATTCTTAAGGAATCACAATCTCTAAATAGCCTTCTTTGTGATTAGCAGCTCTTTGGTGATGTACCGAGATTTCTTTTTTTGGAATATACTTATGATGCTTGCAGATCATTTGACTTTTTGATAATCGACCTTTGTTCAGTTTCAGAGTTTTCCTGGTAATAAGGGTAGGAAGGTAGGAAAATCAGTATATTCTAAGGTGGTATTCAGGAGGAATCCAAGTGCTAAGGACTGGATTCCCATCTCCTGATTTCAGGGAAAGGAGAAAACTGACAAAACCAGTATTTGTTTCTTGTCTCTTTAGTTTCCAAGTTTTTACAAACATTCTGGTCACGTACCCAGGAGCTTCTCTATAGCCTAATGAAATGAAAGGATAAAGAGAATGCAAGAAATTAACACAAGTATATGAAATAAGGATTCAGTTTTGAGGGTAGATGGGAAATTAGTTTCTTGTTAAAGGAGAACAATGTGCCTGGAAATCCATAACTGAGGTTACTTAGAACACAGGGTTCTGTGTTTGGAACACATCTAGCATAGTAGAAGGAAGGAAGGGGAGGGGGAAAAAACAGGGAAAAGCAGTGTTTGTTTAGAAGCAGAAAAGAGCTAAGAGAGTAGAATGACAGCTAAAGAAGTAGAAGGAAATATTTAGTTGTGGAGAAGGGAAAGTATGGGTAGATAAGAGCAGGCTCTTCTCCATCTGTCCTGCTATGTCCTTCAACCTCCCATTTATCTATACAGACTGCTTTGGTTTCCCAATTGCTGTTTTCTCATCTGTTGGGAGCACACTGTGCTCCCTGTGGTTTTCTCTGAGAAGGGAGCTAAACTGCTTCCCACAAACCACCATGTGATAACTAGAACCACACCAGAGCAACCAGAGCTAGATTTGCCAAGCCATTCCTTCAACTATCACTATAAATGCTCCCACCCTGCTCTGAACAAAAATATCAAACTTCACAAATCCTACTTCACTCACCAGAAGCAGCTCAGAAGCCTTGGGAGTGAAGCAGGAAATCACCATGAACTAGAAAGAATGTACACGAATATGCAAAATGGACACTTCAAGAGCAAAGGAAGAATATATTTTCACAAAACTTTCATTCAATACATTTGCAGTTCTCAAATGACACTCCAACAGCCTGGAAGCTGATGTACCTAACTGGGAATAGTTTGGTGATCTGAAAGGGATATTGATGTTAGCATGCATCCCAAGTTTCTCCCTCCTGGGAGATAATGCTCAGGATTTCAACAGGCCATAATCACATCTCTCTGTCCCCAAACAGCTAACTGTTTTTCCTCTCAGTAAAAATAATTGCCAAATACTTCAAGATAATTAACAGAGAACAATGGCTCTTATTCTCAGTTCAGTTTTCCCTGTTTCAGATGGAAGGATTCAGTGCCTGAACCTTGTCTGTCCTCCTGTCCACCACAGCCATCAATCTGGATAACAACAGACTCTACTTCTAATTACAAACTTGCCCATACATCTGGACACTGTTCCAATCACAGCATTAACACCACTAATTATGGTATTTCTCTTCATTGTGCCTCTTCTGATGAACTGAAGAAACAAACATAAAATGCAGCAGGAAGGATTAAGTGAAGAGTGAATATTTGGTTACAGAAAAGCACATTCTCATAGCCGTATGTAAAATGAAGAGACTTTGCCTCTCACTCAAATGCCGTAATAAATCCTCAAGAATGTAAGAAATTGCTAGCAAAGCAACCAACTCAAGACTCTGATCAATTTTTAATGTGAAAGCAAACATTTGGGGAGGAAAAAAAAGATAAAAATATTTCCAAAGAAGCACAGTAATTATTCAGTTTGGCTTAGCACTGAAATCCTGACAGAAAAGGGAGATAATTAAAAACAGACTCTGTGTGAACTGACACACAGCTCAGCCTGGATGGATACTGAAACAGAATCACTAAGAATGCAAGTCAAGGCATTGACAGAGTGAAAGCAGTGAGGCCTTATTACAAGTAAGCAGCTGCTACATATCAGCACTCTCTCATATGTGCTGCAGAATCTACGGAAAAGGGCTTCATGGCAGAAGGACTGTTGCTGAAAAACAAATTAGGACTCCTGTCCACTTTAATAATACCATATTATATAATAAAATGCAAAAATATTATATATCATTGATTTTTAATAGTACCATAAAATGACAGGAAAAAATTGGGGTTTTTCCTAGTGTGCCCTAGAACATGCTTCCTCCTCTCCATTCTTCTGGGTAAAGCAGCAATTAAGTTTGTCAACACAGTCTAAAATTGCTTAGTCTGCTCTTTTGGTCCACCCAAAGTATCTCCAGCATCTCATCCTGCAATTTCACACACCAGTAGCACCTCTCCCCAGTACCTCTCACAACGTTCACACCTCCTTTTGCAAAGTGCCCCCCTTGGGCATGCCTTAGTTTCAGGGTGCACCATTTCAGGTTCTCTGAAGCAGTAACAGCAGGGTCTTCCCCCTCTCTTTCAAATCAGATCATTTTCAAATAAATTAAACTGTACATCCAAACATAGGAGTATTCAAGAATCAGCCATCACTTTTGGAAAACATGTAGTGTACATGTGTCTGTATGTAACCTAAGACAGAAGCAGCTATTAAACAATAATTTTACTTTCATTACCTTCACTCCCAAGACTGGCCAAGGGCTCTGTAGCAAAGCCAACAGAAAAACCTATGTATCCAGAATTGAGTTGGTACTTTAATCAATATATTCCATCTGATAGGCCTCACACAGCTTAGTGGGTTGGTGCTGGGCAACCAGTTATTCTCAGATCTTTAAAACAAGACAAATTCTCTGTACAATCAATAATAGTTCAAAGAAATTAAGTGGTACAGGAATTAGTGAGTCTGTTCAAAACACTGGAACTATGTAACCTTTGATTCATTATGAATCACACCCTGATGGTGTTAAAGTTTCCTGGTATAATCACACAAGTGATTCCACTAATAGAATCACTCTTTGCAGTTTTTCATGTAATGTTTAATCCTGGGCTCAGGGAGGTGACAATTTTAGTAAATAGTGGTCCTGGACATGTCAGTCCTGAAGTCCTATAATAAGCTTTGCAATATACATATTTAAAGCAGTGGTGAAGCTTCCTTGAGAGGCAGAAAGACAAAGACTGCATCAAGAACTTACAATGAACTGTGTTACACCTACAGCACACAGACAGTGTGAACAACACTGCTAAATTTCCTGCTTCAACTACTTCTCGTTGGTGACCTTGAGATAATATTCAAATGAAGAGAAGTACAAACAGCACACTCTGGAAAGCACAACCCAAGTTATGTGTCCAAGCCAGTTGACATTCACGAACTGGAATGGTGGCATTAAAATAGCACACATTATAGCTTATGCATGGCAGAAGGGCAGAAATATTGTTAATCAAGACTGGCTGGTTTAAAGCATTTAATTCAGTTGAGAAATTGGATGGATCCACTTAACATGTAGCTTTCTTTAAAAAAGGAACCAAAGGCTTGTCCATTAACCAAACGTAATTGCTTTAGTCCAGAAAGTACACTCTGGAGGCTCTCTAAGCACAAAACTACTTTTTCCTCTTTTACTTGTAATCTTCCTTCTGGTACCCACCCCTCCAGCCTCAAAAGTCACTTGTTTTAAGGGACAGGGAAAAGGCTTATCTATCCTTAGGGATAGATGGGGCACTGGTAATGCAAATGAAAGCTCCAGTGGCTTTAGAACTCATAAAAGATTTGTTAATTTTTAACTATTTTTAGAAGTAGTTAAATTAACTTCCTCATAATCTGTAGACTATAAAATTAAATTTTCACTAGTCTATGTCTAAGAGGAAGAAATTATTTCAGTCCTGCCAGGTGCACCTGCTATAGGGAAATTTATTCCAGAGAGGCAGAAGACTGCACTGCCAGGGAGGTATCAGGACTGGAATGAGGTATTGTAGGACATATATGGGATGTGGACAAGGCTCAGCTGCACAGTAATGCTGAAAAGGAACACAGAGATGCTGCCTACCTCAAAGCATCCCAGCTAACTCCTTCCATCTTCATCCTCTGCTCCACCCCACTGCAGTGACTCCACAGCAGCTCATCACCTCCCTGGAGAAAATATTCCATAGGGAGACACCCTCCCTCTACGATGAACACCATGCAAGTACTTTAAAAGTTGGGAAAGAGATGAAGGGGTGCACCACCTCTTCTAGGATCACAGGAAAGGAAGACAAAGGAAACAAACAGTGTAACAGTAAGTTATGCTCTAGAACACTGGAATCAGGATTTAAAAAATTACCTATATATCCAAATAACTCATCCTTTTACATCCAGGAAAATGCAAGAAGTGAACAAGAGTGTATATCGTGGCATAGTCTAATTAGCTGAGTTAGTTCTGTAGCTCCTGCCTTGCCAAATAGGTCTGAAGTAACATTGTTCCACATCAGCAACACCATTTATCCTCTTGGTTTGAGGGGAGTGCAAAACAAAAGACTACCAAAGAGAAAAGAAAGGAAGAGGGACAGAAATCAGATCTATTACATTTACTTTTGTGGATAGAACTGGATACTTGACCCTTTGCCAATTACGAAAAGTGACACCTTCTAGAGACAGAGCAGAGGAACAAGGAACATTTCCAGAACATTACTAGGCACTCCTCTTAAGGCTTTCACGCCACTTGACAACTGCAGGTCCTTTCTTATGCAAGAACGCGTAAGCTTCTTTGCAAGAAATTAATAGTAAAGGACAATAGGGAGAACTGCAATTTCTAAATAAGCATCTGTGCACCCAAATTCCTGGGACATATACTCACATCCTTGCATCAGGGTCAGGAGAAACTATTAATTATTATGATAGCTCTTCATGACTGCTAACTACAATGATGATACACATTCTTTTTCTTGGTTTGGAGTTTTTGAGTTGGTTTTCTTTTTTGGCTAGTTGGTGTTTTGTTCAGGTTGAGTTTTCTTGGGGTTTTTTTTTTGGTCTTTTTGTGTTTGTTCTGCACCAGTTCCTATTTTAAATGACTTTGTAAATTATTTATCTTGGTCTTTCTATAAATGCTGAAATGTTTAAGTTTCCAATATTGGACACAATGGCTACTACTTCCTTTAATGGAAAGTGTTTGGAAACTTTTAATACTGTACCACCTAGTTTAGAAAATACCAGGTGCCATGTTGGATAATCTACTAGCAAACTTTCCTGTCTAAAATGAGAATAGCTCCTGTTAGTGGCAATATCTATGTTTGTTTTAAAGCAAACAAAAAATGCCTTAAATAAAAACAAAACAAAACAAACAACAACAACAGAAAACCCCAAACAAAACCAAAACCAACCCAACCCAGCTATCAAGAACAGCTATCAACAGCAGTTCAACAAGGCCAACAAGAAAAGAGTTACTTTTCATTATTATTTGACCTCATCTGCAAGAGGCTGATTTTTGTGTTATTTTGTTTGGGTTTCTTAAGAACTAAACAAACATTAGAAGTCAACATAACATAGCACTTAACATTACAATGCACATCAAAATCGGGGTGAAAATGGCTGCCAGGGATTTATTTCTTTACAGAAAACAAAAAGGTAAACAAATGAATCACAACACTCCAGCTGAAGTTTCAATTGCCATTGCTTTCATGGTGAAAGACGTAAATGTAAGCTTTTCAGAAATTTATCACTTCATACCAGTTGAGAATCTGGTTCATAATTTATCCAACCTATACAGATTAATAAAAAGCCATTTTACAAAATGAGTTTTGTTCTGTTTCCCATTTTGCAGCTGATCAAGAGGTTGGAACTCATTGGAAAGATTCTTAACAGTTTGGTTACATGCAACGGCTCGTAAACTGATTTCAATTTAATCCCACCTTCTCATCCTTTCAAACATGGCCTTTCACAATAAGGGATTTCCAATGTGAGAAACATGTAGCTGGGAACACTGTTCATCCACCCATCATAACCTCTTCTTGAAAGCTGCATCTCTATTGATCTATTGAGCTTCTAATGAGAAACAAGACAAAGATTTTGTGCTCCCTTCTACTGATCAGATTCAGGATCTCAAAACTCTATCCCAGAGAACTCAAGCACCTTAAAGGGATCTCTTTTTCTGACACTGCTACAAATTACAAGTCTAAATAAAGTAGTGACTATGGCAGGCTGTAAGATTGTTCAACCCTAACACAAGATTACCCCTAATAACAGAATGTTCTTACATTACTTTTTTCAGCCCAATTTTATATGTCTAAAGTAACAAGATTTTCTCAAGCTCTGTAAATAATTCATGTGTAAAGCTAAAGCACTAGTGTTTTTTGAATCCTCTGAAGACACAGGTCTCTTATCTGTTTATGCTTAAATAAAGCAGTATTATTTCCCCCCACTGAAAGCTTGAAACAGGTGCATTCACTCACCTCCTGACAGCTGGGGCTGGGTAGATGCACACCAGCCAGAGACACCAGAGAATCAACTGTTTCCAACTCCTGCTGGTAAAAGGTCTGAATTTTGTTTTCTAATAGAAAGCTTTGCACTTTCTCATGCAGCATATGGATTGAGAAATTCTGACCCTCCAGGCCGCTACAAGGATGTCAAAGGAACATGTCAAAAGACAAGAAATGGGTTTTAGAACAATTATATAAAGTCAGTCCGCTAGACTGGTTTCAAAAGAGGTTTTACTGTCCTTAAAGAATTTGAATTTAAATCCTTATTTAAAACAGCACATTTTTATAAACATAAACATTTAACTGTCCTTCAATCATTTCCTGTTAGTTTTGTGAACTTAAGATCTGCAGTCTCTGAAACAACACTAAATGCACCAGGCCTCCCAATAAGCATCTAGCTACCCTGAAACTGAGTACAGACATGGGTGTTTGACTCAGTTTATTGAGGTTATGTATTTGTAATTGGACAATGACGAGGGCAGGAGAGCACTTCAGCGGAATAGCTCCTTAACCTTACACTTAAAACAACATCAGGCAAGAATACTTCTCTGTCCTCTCTGCTGACCTCAGCCTCAAGTCTTGTTCTAAAACCTATTTTTTTCACTAGATGAAAGAGGTCTCTACACAGTATTTTACTTTCTTCCTAATATTCACTTTAGTTTAGCATTATAAGTCTTTCCTCAGATTATGGACAGGTATCTCATCTGTATGGATCACCAATTATTTGGCAGAAAAGCAGACTGCTACTATATATTAATGCAGTCTAAATCATAGTCAGACCCTGTCTGTTTTTTTTTCCAGAGTTATTACAACAAGTAAACAATCATAATATCCCATACTTTGCCCCAGGAGCTGTTCTGGATACTGCATTTACCTCTGTGTTTCCTCAGGGCCCTTGAAAGGTTTATCATAAACTTCTCTATAGAGAGAGGGGAGCTCCAGCATTCTTGAAATCTGGACATCACACACGGGATCATCCACTTTATCTGGAGAGGCAATGAGAACATGTAGACCCAGCCAGGACTACCATACAATTTTTTTAGCAAGAAAACCTGAGGCAGCACAGCAGAGCTTCACAGCCAGTATTAAATTGGCAAAATTTGTTCACTGTGGTTTTCACATTAAAAAACAAAAAAAACCAAAACAATCACCACAAAGGCCAATCCTTCTTTTACAGTTTACAAGGAGGTAAAATGGCCTGTTGTGGTGCATTAGAGATTATGCTTTTGTCTGACAACTTATTTAACCAGAATTTATGATCTCTAATTTACCTTTCAGCAATCTTTATCCATTAAATGAAGTTAGCACATAGTAAGGAGCTTTATTTGGGCCAAAGTGAAAGCAATTTAGAGGCTATTTGAATTGCATGTCTCTCTTTGGTATTATTACCAACCCATGAATGGGTTGTATATACTCATAAATCTTCTGTCTGGAAAGGAGGGCTGAACTCCCTTGCAAATTTAAGCTAGAGCTGAAAAATCTAGACTTTTTATCTGACTTACCCAGGGTTTTCAAAAGACAGGCTTTGCTTCACTAAAGAAATAATTTCATTGTTATCTCTGAAAGATCTCACTGGAGAAAACCAACTCTTACACAACAGCACAGACACGGAACTGAGAAGAAGTTATGCAACTGGAAGTTCCCAGAGCACAAGCCGTGGGCTGCAGAGCCCTGCTGCTCAAAGAGCTGTCAGACACAGAAGCAGCACCTGCATGCAGATCTGTGCCTGAGGAACACTTCTCCCTCATCCTGCAGAGCCAGGGAGCTTAGGAGAGGCCAGGCTTCAGTGGGACACTGCCCATATGGTGCTGCCTGCCCATGGAATGGATTGTACAGGCTGTGCCAAACAGCAGCCACTTCTTTAAAGCCCTCAGTGCCCTTGGTGAAGTGGGACACAGAAGGTCACCAGCTCCTTTCCCACAGGCTTTGCCTGCTCTACTTCAACACAGAGAAATATGAAGAGCAAATCATTCTTGCAGACACCCAACCACAGGATCTGCACAGTATTCTTGTATGCATGCTAATCAGCTTTTACAGTTTTTCCAGGAAAGCCTTGTTTACAGGAGATCTAATCTCACACATTACACAGTGTGTCTTCTAACCTTATGCTGTCACAGTTGAAATAAAGATATACAGATGAAAATGCTTAGAAAAATGAGATGCCAGAAAATAAAGTGGAACTATTAAACTAATTACATACAGGTCAGACATTTTCACAGATTCAGACATCTTAGTTACATATATCACAGATTCATAACACTCACAAAAACATGAAGCCTGAATTTCTCTTTGCTGCCTATAGGTTCGGATGTGACCTCTGACCCTGATGACATCTCCAATTGCCAGCTTGGTTTTCTGGCTTACTATTTCTTGGAGTTTCTTCATCTGTTCAAACACATTGAGACTGCTCGATGTGCTTGGCTGACCTGCAAGAAGTGAGGGAAAGGGAATCAGGCACTAAAGTCAGTGCATTAATTGTCCTTTTGCATTCATCCACCTAAGCACCACATGAGTCATATTACTAAAAAAGGGTAAGGCTCCAGGAACCATGTGCTACCTGGGTAGCAAAACTTCTTGGTGATAAAGTTGGTTTACTGTATTATATTTATTTAAATTGTTCACCTGGGGAAAATATAAAAGGGAGAAAATACTGATTTACCACTGAAAACGTCATAGATGAGTTGCAAAATTGAAACATAAATTTGAAATTGTTTTTTGTAATTTTTTTATTTTGTCATGCTAAGATGGATGAGAAGGGAAAAGAAAAGTCAGCTGAACTTTTTATATAAAAGAATGAGTCATCTGAGGTGGGGCCAAAGCATTCATGTGATGCAATTTGATGTCTACACTGAGGTGAATGCAACTTGAGAGAACTTCATGTTTACATAACACAACTTTGTAAGACGTTAAATCCTTCATAACTTAAAACCTGATTAATGTTCCAAGGATCCCTGATCACAATTACAATAGCCTGGAAGAAAGTTTCCTGTGCCCCCTAAGAGCTTTCTTTAGCAGGTACAAATGAATGAATTGCCATTCTTAGCATAGTGTCCATCCAAGCACTACTGCTGTATGTGTAAAATCAGAATACAAGTCTGAAAAGCATTCTTGGCCCTTATTCTATTTCAAGCAGTATTTCATGCAATTCCTTTTAATGCATCTAAGTTCCTCATTTAAGTTCCTCAAAACTGACTTGATTGCCTGTCTCCTTTTTTGAGAGCTGTGCCAGATCATCACCACTCCAAAGTGAGAGCTGTCATCCACATTCCGGTTAGGACCGTTTGTACCACCTGTCATATGATTCTTAAATATAAGGATGAATTATCTGTCTGTATAAATGGGCTTGTTCCACAGACATCAGAGTTTTTAACTTTTACATCAAGCTTTCCTTTCTCCATTCTATTAATATGTATCCCTAACACTGCAGATGACACCAGTAAGATTTATTTCAGTAGCATTTGATCAGCTCCATATTAGGGTTGTCAATCCACTACATGAGCCAAGAAGATCCAAAGTAGAAAGAATTCTGCACTTTTATCAACAAGAAACAGTGGGAGAAAAAGCAAAGAGACAGCCAGACACTAGTAAGTTGTTCTCTTAGTGAGTACAATAATACTTTCATTTCAAATGCACAATTACTGCACACGTAGGACTTGCCCAAATTGTAAAAGACTGCTGGCATCCTCCCACTGTGTTTGAAACTACTTTCAAGTTCATTGTTGAGAAGTGTCTGTATGAGCAGGAGTATATGAATACAAACAAAGCAAGGATAAATCCTGAAACCATAATCACAAGGGTAGGTCAATGGACTAACTTTGGAAACAGAAGTTGTGGCACATTTCCAGCCTAGTTCCTTACTAGATGAAGTCACAGAAATAACCTTAGGCAAATTCTCTGAACAATGTCACAGCATAGAACTAAAATATCATATTACTCAAATAAGGAAAAGGCAGGGACAGGACATAATGTAATAGTTTTATTGGCATCACCCTTGAAAACAACACAAAAATGAAAAGAAAATTCCCAAAATGCCCCAAGGCAGTATGATGTGGTAGTTTAAAATTAAAAATAAAAAAATAATAAAAAATTGAACAGTTGAATTTGCTACTCTGCAAGTTTGATCACTTACTAAATTATTTAAGACAGATGTAAGTAAAAACATACAGTCAAAAGAGGACTTACTCATTTGATAAATTACCTGATAAAGGTGTTTCTGCTACCATGGGATTTTTCCAGCAGACACAATTTATAACTCCAGTACTATCATCCACTGAAAAAAAAAAAAAAATTGCAAGAATTACAGGCTAGGAAAGCAGGCAGTCATGTTCCCAGAAGTGAAGATACATAAATATGTAGGGAGATAACTGCAGAGGGTATCTCATTCCAACTGGTTTGGAAGGTAAAGTGGGTGTCCAAACTCTATTAACATATCTGAAATAATTTCCACAGTTGCTTCAGACATGGCAGTAGCTCAGCACCAGATGTGCCTACGTGCATAATCAGCAAAGTAAAAGGTATATTATCAAAGAAAGATCATACACTAATTTATATTATGAGGCTTCAGTACATATATTGGATACTAAGGGGTTTCAATCTCATTGACAAGGTCAAGAGAAGAATCAGTGTTGAAGGCTGAAGTCAGACACATTAAAATAGGAAACTAGGCATAAACCACAGAAGCATTACTATACTATTACAGTGAGAAAACAGCACTTCAACATTTGGGGAATCAACCATGTGAATAAACCAGGAGTGCAGCTACCTGCAGCTGCATTGGTTTCCATGCCAATATCACACACAAAGTCTATTGGTCTTTCCAATATTAGGTGATGTCCAGGGAGCAGAAAGGCAGCTCCTCTAGGCAGGAAGGACAGAAGACAGTACATGCTTGTGGTTCTGCTCTAAGCCAGGAATTCCCAACTTGAAGTGTAGGTGCTGGTGGCATGCACGCCACTTCCGCTGCTGAAAAGGCTCAACACCTTCTCCTGAGCACGGAGCTGTTTTTCCTGTTTTGCCAGTGTCCAATGAAAATAAATTTTACAATTTCTGCTCCAGGCACTGCATTGTCAATGAGAGCAGGAAAAGACAAAACTCAAAGGAAACTAAAGTCTGTCAGAAGAATCAATTTTCTGTTGATAAGGGACTGTACATAGATGGCCTGTACAACAAACACTCTAAATAGAAAGGCACTAAGTGTCTGATCATCCAGCCAACGCACATTGCTTCTTGAATGTAACATCTCCAAGACTGAGATTCCACTCCTCACAAAAGGAAACCTGCAATTTTCTTCTGCTCCTTAAACCAGGTCCATGACCAAAAATGTAACAGCAATGTTTTCCACAAAGGTGCTGATTGGTACCTGCAGTCATTTCCTCTGGGAACCACAGCATCAAAGCGAAATGCCTTTGCATTGTCTCACGTGTTTTAAAACAATCTCCCTGTTTGGAGGGGGTCTAATTTCAAATCATTGTCCTGCCTTCCTGTTTCCAAGCAGTTTAGCTGCACATTCTTATTAGCAAACTTACAGCACTTAGAAGATGCAGGCAATTCCAAATTGCATCACAAAAGTATGCTCCTCTCTGCTATCTCTGTTTTGAGCTGCTGTGTCTGCAACTATTTCAGCAGCTTTAATTTTGTACCGGAGCACAGGTAACAATCTGGTGGTAGGATTTCCTCTCCTTGGTACAGACAGACAGCAACTATTTTAGTAGGAGTCAGAACCCTGATAAGCAATGCCAAGCCATCCATGCAAGCCAGCAATGGCAACAAGAAGCAGGGCAGATAACATTTCACTCTTGCATTCCCACAGTTTCTAGATGTTCCAGCTTGCACCAGCTGAGACAGACAGGCTTCCTAAGAAGGGCTTGGAAACAAACCAAATAAGACTGAAGGATTAAGAGGCCAAACTCCTCCTCCTCAATGTAACAGCTGAAAACAGAGTCCTGGAGAGACTGACCTGTACTTGATCACGCAAGGAAGCTGATAGCAGAGCAAGGTTCTGAAACAAAGCTTTGCAATTTCACAGATGAAAGCTTTGAGCAAAAAGACAAGTAACTCCTGAAGCACACATGAATGAGAACTCTTGCAATTGTATTCTAATTAGACAAGAGAATGTTAATGCACTCAAGGGGTCTACAAACTTTTGAAAACTTCCTGTACTCCCTGTGCCGCCCTTCCTCATCTCTTTGGGTTTTAACTTTTGTTTATTTGTGTTTTTGGTGGGTTTACTTTTTGTTTGTTGGGGTTTATTTTCCTGGTTTTTGTTTGTTTGGCTTTGGTTTCTTTGAGTCTTGCTTAATTATTTGAGGGGTAGTTCAAAGCTACCTGTTAAATGAGATAATTGTATAAATTTTTATTTCTTTATGACAAAAAGGGTATGGTTCTTGTCAGGCTTGCATGAACCTACTGAGATGCTGGTGGGTTTTTTTTATTTGAGTTGATTTAAAGTCAACTGCCTTTCAGTCTTTCAAGTCAGTTTTGGAGTACAAGGAAAACCACATGTGATGTTTGGTTTTGTTAAGACGGAAAGGGAAAAAAAAATGTCAGAAAGGTGCATTAGGTAAAATATGAGCTTGATCAAAGCTATGTTTTAATTAGATATCTTTCTCCTAACTTATCATAATAATAGCAAGAAAAAATCCAAGTGTCAAAATCAGATATTACACAGCATGTATTTTTATTTTTTAAGTCAGGAAAGAGTAAATTAACTCTTTTTTACAATTATATTTTCATCATTAGTTCTGGCTGTAGAGTTTTTAGCAGAGGACCTAAGATTTTTTAAAGTGAGTGATATGTATTCTGAAGCAGACAGATAGGAAATGAGGCGGGAGGATCATGGCAGGGACAAAAAGACATTTCAGTTCCCTATCAGAGGGAAAGTACATGGAGGGAATTGCTTTGTAAGTCACTTTCAAGCAGATGGAAAGTGAGCAAGTCCTGAACAGTGTTGCACTCCAACTGATGCAACCCCTGTGACTCATCAGAGTCTGTTGAGCTGAGAGATGCAAGAAGTTACAAGCAGGAAACTGTCTAAGAAGTTACAATTTTGCACTGGTGGAGTCGGCCTGCCTGAAAGGGAGGGCAGGCTGGGGAGAGGCAACCTGGCAGGTAGCCTGAAAACTCAAACCAGGAACTGCTGGAACAAAGACTGGAGTTGGATGTGAAAGGACAGCAGGAAGCCAGGCTTAATGTGAGCTGCACTTGAAGGTCGGCTGATCTAAAGCCTTAATTCCACTACTCTGCAGTTTCTTTTTATTTCTATTCCTCCACTTTCTGTCCCAGTCAAACATTTTCAACAGATTTAGTTGTTAAACTGATGCTGAGAGCAGCATGGAAAACCCTTAACTGTAGAATTGGTTTTATCTTGATCATTTTGATTCCATCTTCCTCTGTTCTCATGAAGTGATAAATGCATTTGCAGTCAATGCCACTCTGCAGCAGTTTGATGCTGGGAAATTCATCAGCTGTATCTTCACAGTACTCCTGAGGGTCAGGGAACTGCACTTTTACAAGCAAGGGAATTGGGAAGGAGAGGCACTCTGTGACTCACCTCTACCACAGGAAAATCCATGGCAGAGGAAGACACTGGCCATAAGAGCTTCACTAGGATCTGTGCATTTGGCTCCCCCTTCCTACTGAGTGACCTCCCCCCACCTTTTCAAACTTGCCATATCACCACTGCTCCATTCTGCTTTTTCTCCAGATGTAAAAGACAGCTGAACAAAATGACAATCAGATGTTTCCATGTTAATAAAACTGAATACTGAGAAAAGCAATACAGAGGAGACAACTCCCAGCTGGTGTTGGCAAGGACCGGTACTATGATGCTTGAGTTCATTTGTTAAGACTCTTGTGCATCTAAACATAAACAATTGCTGTTAGAAGTTGGCTCCAAGATATGACAAGACATTCAAAAAGTCAGAAGAGATTTCTAAGGTTCCAATATGGAAGAAGCAATTTCCCATTTGTGGCACTGTTAAATTTATTTGCATCAGACCAAAGAGACTGGAAATAGGAGAGGAAGGTGGCAGAGTCCAGTGACAAAGCACCAAAATGAAGATTTGCTACATAGCCCCACATGAATCAATTACTCTGTGTTAACTTTTTAATTCTCTATTTTGGGAGATAAACAGTAGCTTCCCTACATTTGCCAAGTAATCTCAGTTGTAGACATACAGATTAGGATAAGAGCACATTTGTTTCAAGAATACACAATGAGCAAATAAGGAAACCTTTCAATTCTAACAGTAAGTAAGATTAAAGTCTGGTAAGTGCAAGAAGGAAGAAAGAGAGACATTTTCCTTACCTCCACAATTATAAAAGGCGTCTCGCTCCTTTGTTTGAACCACTATCCCAACAACATCCACCTGTCTTATCGGATGGCCATTATAAAAGAATATACCTAGACACAAAACATGCATGATTAGTGTAACGATTCTTTCAACACCCTACCCTACATAGTCACATTTCTCAGTAAAAAACCATACTTTCTTACATATTTAATATATCTTAAATTATACAGTGCCTACACAGGAAAAATTCCCTGTATCACTGAAGAGTAGGAACACTAAGAGGAGAAAGTATCAACTTAGGATAGCAAAAGCTTGCTTTTGTAGAGTGTCAGAATCTTATTAACCTCTTGTTTTCTAGCACGTTTGGATCTGAAAAAAAACCTTGTTTGCTGCAAGCATTAAGGTGGTTTTTATTTGTTTGTTTTGTTGTTTCATTTGGCTTTTTGTTTTGCTTTGCTTTGTTGTTTGGTTTGGGTTTTTTTATATCTTCATAAGGCTTCAGAATAAATAATAGAACACAAAGGAAGCAGTTTGAGCTTCTCACAATGCAGCTGTTCCTGATTAAGGCAGAGCCTCCAAAAGGAAAACTAACATAATTCTGTCTTTCATTTCTAGAAGAACAGGAGCCGTGGGGGCAGGGGGAGATCAACAGCTCTCTCAGACTGCAGAGTACACTACTGCAGTCATTGTGGACTGCATCCTGAACTTCAGTTTCTGAAAACATGCGTTCTAAAATCATCCCTTCAAAGCTATTTTTGTGCATCTATAAAGATAACTTAAATAACACTTAGAAACATGTCCAGGAAACAGTGAGAAATCACAGCCCAGTGGACTCTGACAGCACTGAGGTTGCCTCACTCTGTAATCCCTTTCAAGAGAGTGACAAATGTTGCTAACAAACACTAATGTAAACATCATACACTGAGGCTTCACAGTTCAGCAGCAGGAGGAAAATAGGGCAATAAGCTCCAAATATACCCTGGGCTGGCTAGTTTTCAGTGAATGTGTTGTCTTCAGTTTTCAAATACTTCTGCTTTACTGAAATAAGCCATCTGGGATGTTCAATAACTGTCTTCTGAAAACTAGATAACTCGAGGGACTCAGAAGGGAACATTTGGCTCCATACACCGTGGCAAGTGTTATTCTTACAAAGGGAAACACAGCAGCAAGGGAGTCAGAAAAGTATTCTGTATTAAAAAAACCCTAAATCCAAAATCCAAAAATAACTTGTCCTACATAGCAAGCAGCCTTAAATGAGCCTAGAATTAACTTCCTGCAAGACAGAGAGAAAACACAAAAGTTTCAGAAGAAATCAGAGGTGATCAGCCAAGCAGCTCATAAGCAGAAGTTTTGCTCATAAAAATCCATGGCAATGTTTTGAGGATGCATTTATGGTTATCATCTCAGATCTGGCTATACTAATCATGCAGTCACTGGTCAGGTCAGGCATAAAGAATGATTAGCAGGTCTGTCCACTTGTCTCACATTTCATTTACCAGAGCACAAATAAACACTGCTAGAGAAACCCCCAGTGGAGATGCTCCCAGTGTATGTAGTCATTCACCAAATCATACAACATCTCTGTAAATGGTCTGGGCTAGTTTCAAGGTAAGTCTGTGGAGCAGAGACTCCAAGCTCCTGATTATGCAAACAAGCAACATGTTATTATGTTTGTTTCCCAGCTAGTAAGCTGAGTTTTGGCAGATGACAGATACCAAATAAAACTGGTTTTCTCCATACCCATAAATTCATATAGAACTCCACCCTTACTGTCAGAGAAACTACCCAAATAAATTTGAAGAATGAAACTATATTTAACCTATTAGAAATTGCTAGACTTGATTACTTCAAGGTGTAACTTACTCCTCCTGCCAGTTTATTTCTTCAAATCAAGTCCATATTGGTAGCAATAAATATATACTAAATATTTGAAGCTGTGGACAAACACATTCAATGAGGTTCCTAATAACCCAGTAATCAACAGACAGAGCAGAATGCCATTACCACAACAGTCACAGCAGTGCTAGAGGGGGCTATAGATACAGGGCTCTCTAGGGCAAGTTCTGATCATGTCTGTACTAGCATAACTGTGCTGTTTGCCATTCCTTTAATTATTATTACCTCCTTTTATGCTATTTGTAGCTTCCCTTGCTTGTTGATAAACTGTCACAAAGCAGCGGTGCACAATAACTCTGAGAAAACTCATTTCCATGATGTGATTATGTGTTACAACTGAGTTTGACACCCACTCTCATTGCGAGGCTGCTAAAACACCACAATTGCTGTTTTTATCTGGGAGCCTTTCCAGCCTTCTTGTCACCATTTATAGCAGCAGAGTAATTGGCCAGGTTTACTGCTTCCCTCTGTGTCGTTTTAAGGGATTAGTCACTGTGGCATCAAATCCTAATGCTTAAAAGTGGAAAGAAAAAACTCATTAGGTCATTCAGTCCGTTTCCTCAGGGCCAATACAAGACCATTTTGTACAGTAAATTCCTGGCAATCTGTACAGTCAGGATATAAACAATCCCAGTGAAGGGCATCCCACCTTCTTCCTGGGAAGGCTGTGCCATGGTCTAACAGATGTCATTCTAGGGATGTTTTTCCTGACATTCAGTCTGTTTTTCTTTCCATTTTTCCTAGTTACAACTTTTTGTTTTGCACTCATTCATTCTTAATTACCATTACTTAATGACTGATTTATAGCCAACCATATACTTAGCTTCAGCTGGTCTTTAAAAGCCCATTAAATGCAGGAAGCATTGACAACAAACACCTACGTTCTTCCTTCCCCAAAAGGTATTAATTTTAGTGTTTTTGTTTTGCTATCATTTGTTGCCAACAATTAAGACACCCTGAAATGTCTGGTTTGGTATATATACAGCACCAGGAGAATAAACAAAATTCAGGATGTTGGTTCTAGAAAAATTAATTTTATTTGAAGTTTGGTTTAGAAAATGATACAGGATTGCAAGCAAGCTTAAATGTGCAGAGTGCCAGATGCACAGGAAGTGGAGAAAGATCAAATGCACCAACTGTAAAGGCTGACATCTTGATATGACAGAACCACCTCCTTAGGATCGTCTTAGAAAAAAAAGGGTAATAACAAAACTAAAAAAGTTCCTGAAGCAGAAGTCAACTCAGTTAAGTAAAAGAACAGAAAGAGAAGTAAGAAGGGAAATTCAGGTAATTTGAAGGTAAAAAAGAGAGCAGGACTTTACTTTCTAGGACTTTTCCTGCTACCATGAAATGTTTGTTGGTGTTTATAAGGTTAATTATTCTCAATACGTTTTCACACGTGTATGTACTGATGTTCAAGTCTAAACTACAATCCAATTCTTCTGGCATTGAATTGTGTTGTATTTTGTTTGAAAACAATTAAAATATCTCTAACTGATGAAGAACAGTTTTTACCAGATGCATTTCCTACAGCAGTACTACTAGAAGATGTTTGTAAGACAGTTCAAAAAGGCCTCTAAATAAAACTTACTGTAGGACAAATATCAACAAGTCTGCAGCCTAATTACTGTAATGGATTTAAGACAAAACTCGCCTGCCATGTTAAATAACAAAGATAGATTAGATAGATTAGATTAGATAGATAGATAGATATTTGTGGTTTGTGAAGTCCTTATGTACATAAAAATAGTTGCAAGAAGAGAAAAAACCTGCCAGTCCTTCATTTCTCCAAAAATAGCACTGCTGCTATCCTTGCTGTTAAAGAAAACTGAAGAATAACAAAACCTACAAGCAAAGCATATTCAAAGAGCCAAACAGAGGTACTTAGTCTCCATGGACAGAAAAAAAATAAAAACCATAAACAAAACATCAAAACCAAACCAAACACATAAACTGTACTTAGGGCTTATTGCTTTTCCTCATTAATTCTAAGTTCTTTGGGTTCCTCCCTGATAATCTTGCACTGTGTCAACTTCAGTTGGGACTAATGAACCCTTCGACAGCAGAAGACACACTGCAGTCTATTTAAAGTCTGTGCAGTGAAAACAGAAATCCAAGGTCAGAGCTGTGTTGCTTCAGCCAAAGCTCACATGTGGGTGACACTGCAAACCAGCAGGACACAGACTGCAAAGCAGATAAGGAGTAAGGTCCAGCATGGAGGCCAGAATTTACAATAAGGCTGTTCCAATGTATGAAGAATATTATGTATCTATCATAATAAAAAATTAAGGAGACAAAACTTCAAAATTTGTATTTGTTTTCTAATGTACTAATATCCATAGGAAAAAGGAAAATCACATCCAGTGATGTCATCAACTGTCAAAATTTTCCAAAATATGTAGAGACAGTGGGGAGAAAACAATACATATGGCCAGAAAGAACCAGAATTTTTAAGAAATAACTTTATCAGAATATAACAAGCATTACCACAGAGAGGAAACACATTACCTTAATGTAAAAGAGGTTCTGAAGAGAAGGAAAAGCCATTTTAACAAATAAATTTTATTTTTCATATACATTTCACATACAACCTAAAGATATTAATGTTACTTAGCTTAAGCATATGGAAAACTACTTTACTGATGTTTGTGAAGTATTCTTCAATCCCTTGATAAAAAGCACAACATAAATCAATTATAACATTGTGTATCATAATCAGCACATATAAATACATACCTGGCACCTGTTTAGATTCTCTCATTTCTATAATATCTTTAATATAGAGTCTTGCAAATGCAGAAAATACAGGATCTATCCCCCAGTGCAGAGAAGGCATCTCTTCTTCATACTTGGACTCAGACTGCATCCAAAACCTGTGAATCAGAAGGATTTGTAATTGATTCCTACACAGGTGAAGAGCTGTTCACATATGCCCCAGCTAAATGAAAAAACAGCCCTTGAGTTTACACACAATAACACAGCAGAGCTGAAGATGAGACACTGGAGTTTATCTAATCTAATGTTATATTTATCGATCAATATTTCATGTGTCACCACATGAAATATTCGAAGTATCAATACTCATGATTTGTTTGAAGTACTGAGAATCCAGCAACAGCATTTCCCCCAGTAACTTCAAATTAAATAGAATTTTAGAGATTTTTCCTCTCCAAATCCATAGAGAACTGAAGTCAACATTTCTTTAAAAGAGCAGGATTGTGGGATCCTGAGTGGTTACTTTCTCTACAGATGATTATTATTTCCCTCATCATTCTCCTTCCCACCCTTAACATATTCTTCTCATAGTTCATCCTGTGCTTTATTGTGGATTGAGGGAGGATGACTATTTAAAACAAAAGCAGCCATCCCTTCCTTATTTTGAGCATGTAGTCTCCACTAACTTTGAAATTGTTACTTTCCCCTTTTACCCCTTCAGATTTCAGTTTAATGCCTGCCATCTTCTGCCATTACAGATCCAGTTCTCTGCTTATCACAGTGTTGATATCAAAAACCTCAGCACTTGATTCAGGAAGATCCTCCTAAAGATTTGGAAGCTGAAAATATTTTCTATCAGCTTCTCCTGTATGGACATTGTTCCTGTAAGGCTTTCCAGGTCACCTTCCAGTGGGTGTCAGCCCCTTGCAGCTCTAAGTCAAAGGTGCTAAGTGGACTGATTTTGAATTGTGTACCACAGGGCTGAGATTTGGCAGCTCCAGTCTCCTGAGAGGAAGCAGCTCCCAGGGATCTCTGCAGTCTGGGAGAAGCACTGGTAGGTACAAATGTAGAGACAACATGCCATGAACATCACAACAACACCTTGTCTCACTGAGAAACTGCAAAGCTTGGATTCTGCATGGTTTTAATGTTTAAACTTTAATTTGAGGAAAGGGAAAATAAAAAGGGTGTAGCACAACAAGCCAGAGTGTTGCTAACACCTACTCTATACTGTGTACAGAACTGCAGTGACAATCCAATTCCTGTCCAACTTTTTTTTTTTTTTTAAGTAAAAAAAAAAAAAAAAAGGCCAGTGTTATTTACCCTTCCTTGAACTCGTCATTTCTTTGGTGAGACATTGAAAATATCTGATTTAGTCAGTTCCAGCAGTAAATTCACCATTGAGTAACAAACTGAAATAGTTTTGTTTACACCTGGATTCGTATCTCACTCCCCACTACAGACAGCTCTTCCCAACCTTTCCATTTTTCACCTGCAAGATCTACTCAAAAATGTCCCATTCCTTTCTTACTCAAGTCTCCCCAAGAAGCACCCTTTTTCTCCTGCTGAATTGAGACATTGCTCAATAGAAATTTAGAAATTAAGCTGTTAAGTGTATGATCTTAACACAAGCTGCTATTCTTCCATATGGCAGTTCTTTGGATACTTGCTACACTCTATGTCAAATTTAGACCATAAAATTTCTCAAGGGAACAAATATTTTGAACCTGTATTTTATTTGACATGCTCATTTTCTTAACAAAATTAGTCTCTTCATCTCTTTTTGATTGCAGTCTCTAGTACAAAGTTATACCCCTTTCAGCTTCATGCCCCCCAATTTACTCTGCATGGTTACAAAGCCTGTCACAGCTCAGCACCTGTTTTTCCTGCTAGACAGACAGCAGACTGAGATAACCAGCCAAAAAGGGACAATCAGGTGACAAGTCTGTCTAACCTTTTGTATTTTGGGTAAACAGACACTCCTTGGGGTAAAAAGCAGAAGTCACCCCTGCATATGTGTGCATCTGAGGGGAAATCAATGAAGCAGTTCCACTGGACATTAAAAATTTCTGTGTTTTGGCATTTTATAGCCACTTGTCAAGTCTGAAATGTCCAAATGTTAACAAATCAAATCCAAGCCACACTTTTAGCTTAAATGAAGCATCTCCCTGAAATTTTTTACTGCTTCCCTGTTCTGAAGGGAGATTTCTGCAGCAAAAACTCTTTCTATGTCAGAAACTATTGGGAATTAAATCTCCAATTCTGGAGCTTCTTTCTTACTCCCAGGCCTTGTTACAGCTCTTCACTGGAGATATTTACACCCATCATAAGTCTTTATGTAGAGACCACTCTACTTGGTTCAAGCCTGCTACAACACTTTATCTTACAGGGCTTCACAGGATTCCTTGGAATCCACAGGACAAATTTGCTGAAGTCCTGAGTTACAGACATTCCATTCACACTAGGGTAGGACAGTGGAACCATACCCCAGCCACCCACTCATTTTCAGCAATGTCTGACAGGCACACAAGGGCATTCTGCACAGCAGCCAAAGTCTTTCCTGGCCTCTTTGTGGTCCCAAAAGCCCTCCTAATCCTTGACACCACCCAAAACCAAGCCTATTTTCTTCCTTCCCTCCCAAGTGGCCAGCTTGGTAGCTACATTTCAACAGTGGCCTATTTGAAGCCAAAAACTTGTGGTCAGTTGGAAAAAAAAAGATATTTAGTGCCTCCTGCATGTACTGCTTGGCTCCAATACTGCTGGTACCAGACCATTCTTCTCAACAGTTGTCTGTCAGCTCCTAAAGCAAAGCAAGATGTAAACTATTTCCAAAGGATCTATTCACTGAGTTTCCAAGCTTGATTCAGGCAGATTGAGAGTATTAAAAAACAATTCCTATAAGGCTGACAAAACTCTTCCAATCATTTATCTTTTGCTATATAATAGTCTCTTCCCGTAACTTTTTCTTAAGTTGGCACAGGAAGCCTCTCTATCCTGGGGTTAATAAATGAGTCATCCTGGCAAAAGTCGAACTTTCCATTATGTTACAAGTGTTTTCAGCTCTTAACTGGTACCATTGGTGATATGCTATCAGCAAGGAAGATAAGAGCTGCCCTGTACAATGAAGATCCAAGGGGCAAATAGGGACATTGTGAAGATGCACAATGTTATAATCAATGAGAACCAGACAGCAAACAATAGACAATTCTGAACAGATACTAATATACAGTACAAATGTTTAAGGATCAAACTGGCTTTTGCTGGGAGATGGTGATCAGGCTTAGCAATATAAACTACACAGAGTCCTAGCAAAAGGTCATTCATTTCTGCATTTTAAGTGCAGTGTAATGACTTCACTGCAGCAGGGTTGTTGTAGTGCAAGGAATTCAATCCTGTTACAGGAGAAAAAAGGCAACAGAAGCATCTAGTCCACAAATTCATTAGATAGAAGATATCAGAATTCTATTTTTAACTCCAGAAAAAGGCTATGAAGGCATAATCAAAACTAAAAAACCAAGTTCTTCTTGGGAAAATAACTCTGTTTGAAGGGCAAAAATCTAAAGTTTACATAGTAGGTATCTAGATACAAATAAACAAGAAGCCACAATTTGAGATCATTCTAACATATTAAAATAGGGCTGTCTCTTCCAACCCCTGCTATCAATGTTAGCTTTCCTGACTCTGCTTGACTATCAAGTCCATAATCCTCAGAGGGATCTTGTGAGCTCAGTGAGGTATTATCCTAGAAGGGAAAGCAATGAAAATTGGCACCCTTCCCAACCATGCCACCCCCCAAACCCATTTTCTTTCTGCCCTCCTAAGCAGCCTACCTGGTAGCCTTATCTCTATAGCTTCCTATTTAACACCCTATTGATTTATTCAGTAGAATCAGCCCCAGTCAATAAATTTCTTGGCCCATATTCTTGTGCCCACCACATACCTTTTCCAAAAAAGGTAAACAGTCTTCTTCCAATCCCAGTGCAATAGAAACCTCAAAGAAGAGTATCTGTTTTAATGTTTCTTGTTGTCTTTTTTCCAAATTTGATTAACAACCAGAGCTCTTGGAGAAAATTGCCTTAGCTTGAGATTAATCATTTTGAGCCAAGAAAATGTGTCTTGCCAGCAGCTGTCTGCAATTGTTCTGCAAGTGCTAGCACACTGCTGCAAAAACTCTTTCTCAAGTTAGCTATGAATCACAAACAGAATTTATGCACTCACACTGGCAACTTAAACATCCTACCAGGCTTTCACTCTTCTACTAAGGCTGCCACTACTATGGTAGCACTGACAATTTACACTGGAAACAGCTCCTAAACAGTTGGAGTTGCCAACCCAGTGCATTAAAACTACTTAAAGTCACCACTGGTTTACTTGAATAGATTAGGCCAGAAATTGCAGCTGTCAAAAACTGCTTCATAGATCAGCCATTCCTGCCACAGACAAAGCAACTTGTGGAAAGAGGAGCAGAGTCAACAGCTGGGTTTTGTAACACCCTCTGTCATTTGAATTGAAATCATCTGTGTCTGAGTCAACATACTATGTAACAAATGACTATTATTCAGCTCTTCATGATCAGCCGAGGCAATTCCAGCATGGTACAGTCAAACCTACCATTTTTCAGGAAATGTTTTTAATTACCTATAGGCGCATACAACATTTTGAATTAAAACCAAATAAACCCATTGTATTATCATACAAATAAATCTTACTGAACTGGGAAGTAAAGCTTTTAGCTGCAGTTAACATGGAACAAAGAAACACATGAAACTCACCCATAGGTTTTTAAAAAACACATAATTAAAAGAAAGTTTTAATACTGACATGTCTGTTGTGTAACAGTCTTCCAGTGGAGTTAATGTCTCCATGTCATAAGTTTTAATGTGTTTCACTCCCTCTGATTTCACTTTTGCACAGCACTGTCTGGAAAACCTTCTGGACAGGTGCATGTGGCTGTAGGAGACCAAACAAACTAGCTCCTCCACCATCCAGTCTTGGAAGGGGGACAAAGCCTACAGTCCTAGATTGTCTCCTTTTGGCACTGAAACTTGTTTTATATAAAAAGGTTTTGGCATTCAATTTTCCAAAAGCATGATTCTGAAAAACTAACAGGGAAGGGTGTAACAAAGTAAACAGTAAAAGTAGCTCTTTCTGATCCTTGTCCCATGCAATGGATACAATTTCCCATGGATCAAGAAATCAGCCAACCACTCAGCAGACCAGAAAACTAGCTTTGTATTTGTCATGGTCACCTGTAAGCTTACCAGAAATAAGGTAGTAGGGACTCACTACTGATATTCAGAAAAGCTTCTCTCCCTATGTGTATTTTAAAGCTATTGGATAATCACACTGAAGTGCCTTCTTCAACTAATTCCCTAACCTGTCTCAAGCGAGGGCAGGAGGAAGCCTATGAGGATGATTAACTCTGAAAACTCTTAATCACTCACAGTGCTGCCACAATGAGCTGAGCTGAAGAAAAGACATTCTTTCACTGGGAGAGAAGATTCTTAGTTATTATTGCAAATTAAAAACAAACAAACGTAAAAATAAATTACTTCTTATAAATAGTTTCATGCTTGGAGGAACAGCAGTATAAAAACTGTGATAGCCAGATGATTCCAACCAGGCTGTCAGAAACTTTTTTGACAGATGCTTTTAATCAGGTGGTGATGCTGCCCCTCTACTCAGCCTGGTGAGGCCACATTTGGAGTGCTGTGTCCAGTTCTGGGCTCCTCAGTATGAGAGAGACATGTTGCTCCTGGAGTGGGTCCAGCAGATGATTAAGGGACTGGGCCATCTCTCCTATGAGGAAAGGCTGAGAGCTGGGCCTTGTCAACCTAGAGAAGAGACACCTAAAAGGGGACCTTGTCAATGCCTAGAAGTGTCTGAAGGAAGGGTGTCAAGATCACAGACCAGGCTCTTCAGTGCTGTTGGGCAATAGGACAAGAGGCAAAGGGCAGAAATTGCTGCACAGGAGCTCCACCTGAACGTGAAGAAGAATTTCTGTGCTGTGTGGGTGAACACACACTGGAGCAGATTGCCCAGAGAGGCTGTGCAGTCTCCCTCACCGGACACATTCCAGAACTGTCTGGACAAAATCCGCAGTAATGTGGCTAAGGGGTCCTGCTTAAGCAGAAGGTTGGACCCTTCCAACCTGATCTGTTCTGTGATTCTGTAATTTACTGATACAACACAAAGGAATTAACTAAAAGAGAAAAGAGAATAAAACCTAATTCACCTCAGCTTAAGGCAACACAGTTGCCTTTCCTACTCTCTTTTAGCAGTGAAACAGACGTAAAGTCACCTCCTGAATGAAGATTTTCAAATTTCAGAAATTGGCATAGAAATGACAAGCATGGGCTTATAGCTTTCAAGGCTACTGTGCCTGTGAACTCCACAAATTTGACTCAATTTGTAGAGGAAAATAATCCTGCCCATTCCCCTCCCTCCTTCCCCTTTAAACTGGTTTATGCATATGATCTAAATTAGAACAGCCTCTGGATTAAGTCAGAATTCATATAAACATTCATAGTACTACAGAACAGTCCATAACAACCTGAGACTTCAAAATAAATAACCTATTATTTGGTCTAGGCACACAGTTGTGATTTGAAGTTTTTAAAATATTCCTGGCACATACCAAAGCTTTAGATTATGACAGATCCACTTAATGTTCTGAAATCAATTTGCATTTTATTTTGCTGTAGAAGTGAACCTTTTAAGTATATCAGAATACTGTGAGACTGTACATGGAACAAGGTGTCAAATAGCCCTTTTCTTGATAAATACAAAGTCAATCTATTTAGAATAATTTTGAAATTTCAGATCCATCTAGCACCATCATAAATTTTATGAGAATAACTAAAGACTGAGATTTCTCATTTGGAGTGCTTTTGTTTTTTTTGTTATTCCAGAATTTTTTTTTTCACCTTCAAATAAAGACCCATCCTGTCTGAAGGCCTTTCTTGTAGAGAAATGTTTAAACATCCCAAAACTCAAATCTGTGCAGAATATAAGGGGGGGGGGGTTGAGCCCATATACTATTACAGAATTATCTGTTTTACAGGGAGATGTTTGAAGAACAAAGTAAGAACTTTCAACATAAGAACAAAGCATTTGTTATTCTTTTCTAATGCTCCTCACACATGTCCTCTGAGCCATCATCTAGGAAAAGTATCAAAAGGGTGGGGGTTTTGTATGAAAAATGGTACAATTCCCAGCCTGCTACTCTCTGAATTTCTTTTGCAACTGGGCCTTCTTTCTGAGGACAAGGGCTTTTACAACTGAAATCAAGCACAGGGTTTCTTAGCCGTACCCAGGCTGCTCTGAACCAGGCTTTAAACAGAAAAGTTTCAGAAATACCAAAGCTGTACTGATATTTCTCAGTTCCTTAAGACAAATTGTACTGCACAGTATGTACACTGTATGCTGTGAATAATCTAATGGTAGGTTCTCATCTAAGGAAAGCTGGCTCATAATCATTTATCTTCAGCTGCTAAACTATTAGAACCTGAACTATTAGAACAATCCAGAAATTGTCCTTCATTAACCTTTGGTTTAAGCAATTTTTGTAATTCTCTGAGGATGTTCTGAAATAATGAATAACTTACCAATGTTCCATCTGAGGTCTGTCCAAATCTCATCACTGAGAGATGGCATAGGACTGATACAGAACAACCCCAAACTGTTCAAGAATACCTGTCCTGCAACATGAGTGTCTTCAGTAACTCCTTCCCTGTGGAGAAAAGGCAGCTAGGCTTGTTTGTTAGTAATGATTTTTGCCCATATTTAAAAACTTGTTCCAAATCTTATTGAAAGGCACTAAATGGACATTATTTAGATTCTTGAAAGAAAATACCTCCCTGATGACTATGGCTGTAACTTCTTCCATGAATCACTGTGACAGCTAATATGATAAAGTCATTACTATTTCCGACTTCATGGTATGTAAAGAAACCAACAGCCTTTTATAAACTAATTTGAGTGTCTCCTTAATTGCATTTGAATTTGAATAAATACCATTTCCTACCTCATGCTCTGTAAGGAAGTCACTCCTGTATACTCTATCCAGAAAGATACATTAGTGCTCAGTCAGAAGCCACAGGAATTATTTTTCATGTAGGTAATTTTATTTTCTGCTACAATTCAGTCTATGTAATGTGATGGGCTTTTTTGATTTAATCCATAAATATCACACAGTGTACTATAAAATGTAATTTTGAAGATTAGCTATTAAAGATCCCCTCTGTCAAAAAAATAAATATTTCAGGCACTTGAGACAAAAACTGCATCACATCACAATACTCTGTTTTGTCATAAGCAAGTGCTAGTGCCCAAAGTTTGCACAGACTATTGTTGGACACACAATAGCTGCTGTTTGCCTTAACAATTGACATATTATTGCAGCTCCACTCATTGCTGCTGTACCAAGATGAGACCCTACAGAAAACCAAATTCTACTTTACAATACAGTCAACTATTTTTTTGCCTCATTTTCTAAAACAAAGAGAACACCGTTGCACACATCAAAATTATTAAAACATGGTTGTAATGCAAAAATAACATTATGCAATGAAAAACTTTGCTGTTTTTTTTCAGTAAAATAATCTAATATTTTAAAGTCTAGGTTTACATTAATAAACAGTTGGTATCTCGCATTCTATGTTATTTCCCCTTTTTGCTAGTAGACATATCTGCAATATTATCCCACTGCAATGTCACAGGGATATTACTAGGAATTCAATAGTCCTTAGTGTTAACTTTTTGTCAAATTTTCCTTTATCGTGCAAGTAGGAAATGTTCCCTATTTGACAGAATGGTATATTTTTAACAGTAATTGTAGAAGGCATAATAAACTTCCTGGTTACACTTAACATGAAACCAGCATTAGGTATGATGGCTGGCTAGCCAGCCTTAAAAATAAACAGATTTTAAAAAAAAAAAATAATTAAAAAATTCATATTACAGAACAAGTTATTTGCTCTCAAGATTCCAGAGCTGATCAGGATCACAAGAGAACACAAAGTCCATTCTGGAAAAAAAAGGCTCCTGGGAAACAGTGAAAGAAAATCAGGATTTACAGAAAGAAAAGCGGCAGTACATGTGGGCTTTTTGTTCAGACATTTTTTGTACCAGTATTGACTGAGAGCAATACTGAGATGCAAAGCTATCTTTATCCCTTAATAAATTTCTAATCCTAGCTACTATGTGAACTAATGCAAATTTGAAAGGCACAAACAAAAAGAGCAAATCAGCTCGTGACTGCTACCCAAGAGGAAAAAGTCTAATTACCATCTGGAAGAAAGGCAACCATGGTGCAGCATTTGCAAGACGTGCTATCATGTGATTTAACTAAAGCTTCTAATATCTATCAGATGGAGGGGGCTCCATAAGTTCTGAATAATTTGCTTTGTGAACATGTACAGTTTTGATTAAATAAATTGATTTCAAATGAAATATAACCTCAAATTATTAAAACACTTAGAAGGAATCGAGCATTATAGCTAAGAGTAGTATTATATTTTACTAAGTAAAAAGTATTTGAGATGGCCTTAGTCCTGTGTGGTTCTGTGAAAGATTGTTAGCCATCACAATATGGAGAGAACTTTTATTTGACTAAATCCTGTACGAAAAAAATGCAACTATCCACCATTGCAGCTCAGTATTTTAAGATTAACTGAAAATTCCTATAAAAGGAGCTTTTTGAGTTAAATACAAACGAAAAAGCATGCAGCCTTCTTTAAAAGCATTATCATGAGGATCTGAAGTTCTTAATTGCATTAGTCAGTTAATCAAAGAGAATCAGCTCTGTAAGTTTCAAGTTGTTGACATGTTCCTTTAAGTCTGAGGTTTGCTCTCATTCCCCTGATATAATTCCACAAGATGTGTGACTATTTCTGAATATCAGTCTTGAAGAGGGTTTTCTTGCAGATCAACTGGAAGCAATAAGAAAAAACACTTCTTTTTTGCTATAGCTTCAATAAAGTCAACATGTTAAAACTTGAATGCTTTTGACATGCCATGTTTCCAAGAAATATTCTTGTACTATTTGTTGAAATATCTGATCCTTATTAAAATTTTGATATTTATATTATTGTTTTTTCTTCTGCCATCTTATTTCAGATAAAGCTTATTCAATAAAACATCACAGGTTTACTTGGAAACATTCTGGTAATCTGACAATTATTATATTTGCTCTGTCATCATTCCCAGAAGCATTGCTGACAAGAGAAACACAGTCCAAGAGTTCTGCTGGCAGTGATGTCTCCATAGGTAGGAAGAACTCCCGTTATATGTAACCATGAAAATTCACCTCACATGGTTAAATACTGTGATAAATATAAGTATCTAAAGTGGGGAAGGTGAATTGCCCTGTGAAGATACATTTCCCCATTGACTGCTGAAAAAGTATGGTCAACTTGGATTAAACATACAGACTTTTCTGAAGCCAAAATTAGATCAATCCTATTCCTAAACATTTTAACACTCAATGTATTTTTAACTGCAAACATAAAGTAATACCCTTATATGTTGAAGCTTCCAAATGCCATGTGTTTCTATGGCAATTCTTAGATTATCTGGTCCTGCCATAAGGCATTAAAAAACCCCAAACCACGTAACAAATAGTAATATAACCAGGTTATTGATAGGAGACTGAGCATTGATTCTGGCTAATAAGATATGGGCAAGCTCAAGTGTCCAACTTCTGATAGTATAATTTTTTTCCTGTTTATATTATATATGACCGAACTATTCCTGTTACTTGTATCATAAAGGCTCATAATATAGCAAATACAAAACAAAGTCTCTTTTTTGTTCTGCATAACATAAAGAGAAATCTCCAAGACACAGCTCTGTCAATGGTACATATATTAGAAAGGCTTTAGGAGTGCTGTATATGTAGTATGGATAGGACAACCAAGGGATCAGGCCCAGCCACCATGGCTTTTGGGAAGGCAGGTCCTGCTTGACTGACCTAATGTCATTTTATGATTAATGATCCACCTAAAGGATGAGGTAAAAGCTGTGGATGTCGTCCACCTGGACTTCAGAAAAGTCTTCAATACTGTCTCCCACAGCATTCTCCTGGAAAGGCTGGCAGTCCATGGTCTGGACAGGGGCTCTCTTTGCTGGCTACAAAACTGCCAGGATGGCCGGGTGCAGAGCTGGTGGTAACGATGCCACAAGGGCTGTCCTCAGGGATCAGAGCTGGGCACAGTCCTGTTCAAGATCTGTATCTATGATCTGGATAGGGGGATCGAATGCACCCTCAGTAAATTCACAAACACGAAGCTGGGCAGGAATGCTGATCTGCTGGAGGCCAGGGAGGCTCTGCAGAGGGATCTGGGTAGGTTCTATCAATGAGCTGAGGTCAATGGTGTGAGGCTCAGTAAGGGGAAGTGCCAGGTCCTGCACTTGGGTCACAAGAGCACCAGGCAGGGCTACAGGCTGGGAGACAGTGGCTGGAAAGTGGCCCAGAGGAAGAGAACACAGGGGCACTGGTCAACAGCAGCTTATCATGAGCCAGGAGTTGCCAGGTGGCCAAGAAGGCCAGTGGCATCCTGGCTTGTATCAGAAGTAGTGTGGACAGCGTGACCAGGACTGTGATCATCTTCCTGCACTGGATTAACTAGAGTGATCTAGAAGCTTCATTGGTGCTTAGAACTCAAATGAGCCAAATACAGCACAAAACATTAACTTGGGAAATCGCAGAGCCTATGTAAAAAATGCCACCACATAACTGGAAAATATCAATAGAAACACAGTACATCGATTAAAGGAAACAGAAAGGACAGTGCTGAGTGCCAAAGGTGACAGATAGATTAAGATGGATGACACAAGAATTACACTTCAGATTTAACCACGAATAAGCCACCAGTGACCTTACAGCAATTCAACGAGCTCAATCACCAGAAACAATTTTGGAGATAAGTGCAAGTGTGGGTAGACAGAAAGTCAAGACAATATAAAAATATACTATTAAATATTTTGAAAGAACTGAAGACAGAATGTAGGACTGCAGTGAAAAGGCAATATATGCTGTGAAGAACATAATTCAAATTAAATTTCTGAAGTGTTTACTTTCAATTAAGAGAAATTGGAGCAGTTTAAAAGAAACAAAGGGAGAGTTAGGAACAGTGGCAAGTCTAAGTGATTGAGTCAATGAGAAAGGAGGATGATATTAAGCAACAGAAACTATAAAGGGGACTTCTAATTCACAAAGAGATGAAAAAGATTGTAAGAGTTTACAGCTATGTTAAGTCAGTATATTTGATGCGCAATCAAGGTAGTTCTTTAACATCTTCCTCTGGCATTTAAAGGAAACAATGAATTTTCAAAAAGCATTGCTTTAAATTCCTAAAGGAGAAATTTTAATATAATTCACTTTTACCTTTTTATCCTTACCATCTGGAAACATTTACAGTTGCTAAAAACTCCTGCTATCAAGAACAAAAAACCTCCCCCCTCAAAATCCAGGCTCCATACAGCCTCCTCCAAACCAGGAGGTCACAGCAAATTGGGAAGGAGTTGCTACTAGCACTTAACCTTCACCTTATATTTTCAGGACTGAGTCGCAAGCTGTAACTCCAGAGTAAAAGAATATGGGAAAAATAAGATGGAGTCATAGTTTTTATATATCCTGGTTTTATCTTGAATTACATGTTCAAGAGTAAAAATGAAAAAGTTAAAAGCAAAACTTTATCACTAGATTAATTATTCCTTTCTTGTGCCAGACTTTCACCTTATATTTTCAATATTATATGAATTAAAAGCTCCCTGGAACAGGAAGACTCTGTTTATACAAGTCTAAAGCAACACACATGCAGTACCTGCTGACATTCAGTCACTGGTAGGATAGCATGGACATTCTGTTCCCAGCAAGCCTCTTTTGTCACACACAAATGGACACACGACAGAGATGCTGTGTGTGAACTGTGCACAGCCCAACATCTATCAACAGAGCTGAGGCAGAACCAGGCCCTGCTATCCCAGCCCAGAACTGCCAGCTCAACTTCACTCATCCACATACAACTCATGAAATTTTATTTTAGTTTTGCATTTCTTTCCAGTTATTACAAACTCTAACAACCACACATAAATAGCACCCCCCCACTCCATTGCCATTAACGCTGAGGCTAAAGAAAAGATAATCCTGCCTAAATACAAGGAATTCATGCTATGGCTTTGGATTCCTTTTTTCCCCGCATCCTCTATCAAACAGTCAGCTTAAATAAACCTACAGAAATCAGTCACAAAGCACTTTTTATCGAAGAGAAAGCAAGTTAAAACCAAAATATTAAATTAAAATTTTAACAAAAATTACTATTTAAGCCATCATTCTATTTTAACATCCAAATCAAAGCTATCATCCCACCTGAAGGGGCAAAAAAAATAGAGAGGAAAAAGAAATTGACCTTTAAAAATTAAAGCATCAGAAGCTAAATTGCTGCTGTTAACACTCTATTATTGTATTTAATTCAAACTATCTGAATGAAACTTCCATATGAAATTAGTAGGTGGAGACACCCAACCAGATGACAGAAGATAAAACAGTTCCTCTGGATTGCAGTTGTTTCTTGGTTTTCCCCTCGTGGCCAAGCTGTCAGTACAAGGAACTCACAAAGCCAAATATCATTTTTGAAAAACAAACGCTGATTATTACAACAAATCAGTTTAGCAAGAGTACTTGAAAGGCTCTCTATTCACAGGGTGGGACTACCCGTGAAACTGATTTTATACAGTTTAAAGAAATTGACTCATGACAGAACACTGTTGTTCGATTCATAAACGCTTTGTGTCAGGGGCATCTCAATGCCTCATTATTATTACTGAATTTATACACGGACTACCCTCCTTATAGAGCAAACCACTGTCAGGCTAATAAAATGGTCGGAGGAATGATGCACACCAGAAGCTTGATCTTTAGAAGCCCATCATGCAGCTTAAGTTAATGGCAATTGCAGGCACTCAGGTTCATACGAGGATAAGGCATTACACGATTTTCTCTGGGTGTTTGTCTCACTGTCAGATGTCTCTGAGGTCTCAGCATCGCCTCAGCTGCTGCTGGATCGACTTCCTGCCCATCAACCCAAACTCTGTCCCCGCGTCTGCTAATTGCCCTTAATCCAGGCAACGGGAACGCCTCTTGCTTTCAAGCGAGGAAACGCCCCACATTTGGTGGCATGCACACAACACAACTATTAAAATACAATTATACTTCAGGGTGAGGAAGGAATCACTTGTGGGAAGAGAAGGTTGTGAGATAAGGAAATTCAGGCCTGTCCCAGTGATTAAATAAGATATGGAAGATACCAAACGGACAACACAAGAACATCAAAGATGCTATGACAGAAGATAAACCAGTAGCAGGTCTAGGAACAGCACCGGACCGCAAACAAAGTAAAGTCTTCCAACGTCTTCTTTTACTATCAACACGTTCCTCAGAGCCCCGCGTCCCAGCCCAAGCCCCCCAGGTGGCACCACCTGCCCACACAGCGCTCCTGACACACAGAGCGAGCCCCTCATGGCCCTTCGGCTCCCGCGGCAGGACTCGGGCCTCAGGACACCCAGCCAGCACTGATGGGAAGCTGTCCCTCGCCTAGGGAGCCTCACCCTTGGCCACAGGGCTGGGGACACCCCTCCTGTACGGGATAGCGGAGCGGCAGGAACAGAGGCGTGGGGTGTCCTCCAGGTCAGAGAAAAAAGGGTCCCTCTGCCACACGCCCCTCCCGTGACGGCACACAGCGAACTAAAGGGAAACAGGACAAAAGGAGAGACGAGCACTCGAGCACCACGCCAGGGCTGCCATCCTGCTCTGAAGCATGGGGTGGGGGGGGGATGAGGGCGCCCCCTCCATCTTGAGTCCGACACCGACTT